TGTGATATTAGTGCTAGGATAGACTAATAATTCAGTGGTAGAACTGAAAGACCAGAAACAGACCACATCTGATTCATGACAAAGCTGTCACTGCAGAGGAGTAGGGAAAGGATAATTCTTCATTAAGTGAGGTTGGGTCAGTTGAATACTTACATGAAAAAGAAAACAAACGACTCTTACATCAAACTATATATAACATCAGTTGCTGTTTTTTGATCTAAAAAGTAAAATAATGAAGACATAGAAAATAGTATAGGACATACTTCAGGAAAAAATTTCTTAAATAGGAAACAAAAACACTAACCATAAAGGAAAAGATTGGTAAATTGGGCTACATTAAATTAAGAATGTTATTTAATTAAAAGATACTAGTAAGAAGTGAAAAGGTAAGCTCAGAGTAGGAGAAGATATTTGCTATACATTTGACAAATTTTGTTTGACAAAGGGTTAGGTATTTGCTATAAATAAAGCTGACAAGGAATATATAAAGAACTCTCATGAATAATAAAGAGAATCAGACAATTGAGTAGAAAAATGGGCAAGATAATGAAAAAGAAGGGACAATATAAAGCTATAGCAATTGTCAACAAAAAGTTTCTAAATATATCAGAAAGAGAACATAATAATATTAAAAATACAAAGTGGAGGTTAGGGTAGTTAAGAGTATTTTGTGTACTCTATCAAGGGAGAAGGTTAAGAAGACTGACCTAGTGCCAGTTCTTACTGATTTACTTTGGTTATGTATGAGGCTAACTAGCAGAGTAAGTGGTTCTGTCTTTGGGCTTTTTTTTTTTTGGCGTCTGCTGACAGTGGTGTAATTTATGACATTTATGACTGTTAGCCCAGTTTATGCCTCTGAACATCTCTTTTCCCCTCAAATCCTTTCCCTTGTAAGCTGTTTAGACCTGTGTTCTCTGATATTTCTCTTCCCAGGAGTATTGTCACTGCATTTTGAGTCCCATTAGTCACTACTGGCTAATTTGCAATTTTGAGAACCATCAAATAGCATAGAACTCATCTCAACAGGAATAGTGCCTTTAGGGACTATCTCTACACTAGTGATATTCAATTCTGTTCTACTTTAAAAACCAATGGGAAGGAAATGATTCACTGAAGAGAAAAGAGTTTCAAAAACAGAAAAAGTCAACTGGTAGGAAGAATGGAATGAGGGAAATAAAACAGTGAAGGCTGCGGTATAAAGACCTAATGCAGGGATGTACAGCCAGAGAAATGCCAAAGGAGATTGAAAGATTACACAATAAGAACAATTATTAACATAAGGCTTAATACATCAAAAGAAAGCTTTATCTGGAAAAATGAAAGAATAGGAGAAACATAGATGTTGCATGGGTTATTACGTTTTAACAAATTGCTGTTTCAAATGACCATAAAGTTATGAGTCAGGAAAGAATATTCCTTCAGCAGAAGGTGTAGGAAGAATCAGACACAGCAAGTGACTTAGGAAAATGGGTAAATTTCAGTTGCAAAGGTTATATTTCTCTAAAGGTAGAAAAAGGAAGAATGAGAGCAACGATTTCTGGGTAGCAAAAAATACTGAAAAAGTTAAAGCTGATAAAGAGAGCACAGTAATAAGGAGGAATGCTTTATATTTGCATAACACAAAGTCCATATCATATTTTTGATTCTAATCCTTTATGTTGTTTTAGGCTTACAGCTGCTCACCTCACAAAGGTGGGCTTTAGCTTCTAAAAGAAGTTAAGTAGTGGTGAAACAATGCAGCATGTTAGGAGTCAGAACTGCCTGAGATTGAGTAATAATTCTGCTAATATCGTAGCCTTGTTACCTTGGGCAACATATTTGACCTCTCTGTGAGTCAGTCTCTTTAATTGTAAAGTGGAGATAGTAATATAATTTAATTCAGGATTTTGTCAGAATTAAATGTTATTTAATCATTAAGAACTAGTTGATGTCAGTTATTATTATCCAGAACTACACTGCTCATGAATGGCATAGGTTGGATTCCACTCCAATTTTTCTGCCTCCAAATCCAATGCCCTTTCCTTAATACCTTTTTACCTTTCCATCCAGATGAGTTAAAATCTGGGCCTCTAGCCAAATTAAGGTCTTGAGAGTCAGATCCAAAAAGTAAGAGGGCAGTCTCTGAGGGATTCGTGCAAAGATGAAGCATGATCCAACTTCTAAAGTTGATCTAAGTTAGCAAGAAAAAGTTCCAAAACATAAGGCTAGAGGTTAAGGGGCAGACAGAGAGTAAGAATCAACTCTGAAATGTATGTTCTATAATGGAGATCAGGTAAGCTAGTGATAGTATTTTCAGAGGGGAGACTAGTAAAAATCCCTAAGGCAGTGGTGTAGATATTTTATTATTGTTCTTTTTGGCAGTGGGGATCCAATTGTAAATGTTTATGGAATAATGATCTACTTGGCTTCTACCTCTGGCAGCTGTAACTACTTCACACCTCACCTGCAGATCCAACCTCATCTCCAATTTCTGTGCCAATTATGGCCCTTGCCAAGGAGATTCTTAGGAGTCTGCTAAAGTCAGGTAACATCAAGTCCTTTTTTTTAAGGCAGACACGATCTGATGCTTTGCTTTATTTTCTTAAACAAAGCCCTACAATATATTAGTTGCTTGAGATTTCATAAATTTCTGTAAGTGTCCAGAATGGATGCTAAACCTGAACTCTAGTTAATGAAGCTAGGTCCCCACTGTCTGAGGTTGTCCCTCTCTGAGGTGAAACTCTGCACCTTTTCTGTCTTGGAGCTCTGTCTGTTGTTTGTTATCTAACCCACTTCACTTCCAGGGTTGCTAACTGTTGCTTATTCATTTGAGCTTATGGCTACACTGGCCTTTTTTTTTTTTTTTTTTTGTCTATTTGGTTCCTTGGGCCGTACTTTCTTTATGAGATCTGTTGTATATTAAAAATTTCTTTAGTTATGTCACACATGATGAATTAATCTTAAAAAATAACACTTAGCTAACACTAGGCATTTTTGTGTACCAGACTCTGAGCTTATGTCCATTTTCTTATTTAGTCTTCCCAACGACATGTGATATTGGTACAGTATTGTTGGGCTCAGTTTTTAGATGAAAAAACTGAAACTCAGAGGTTAAGAAAAATTTCCAAGGTAGCAAGTGGGAAATTTGAGATTTAAAACCAGTAACTCTAGAACCTAAGATCTTAAACATTATGCTATATGTTGATGGTAAAAGAAATAATAAAAGAGCATGTAGAACAACTTGGACGAAAGCTTTCCTGTAAAGAAAAACTATTAGTAGTAGTATTAAAACTGGATTTTCCATCTTGATGCTCATTTTCCACCAGAAATATCAATGAGATGCTGTTTGAGTTTTCTGAGATTGTCTTGTGGTTGAAAAAAAGATAGAGATAGTAATGTAGGGAACAACATACTTTTTAAAAAATATTTTGTAGTCAATATGTTGAATGCTAAATTAATGAGAATTCTGGATTGTGGAATGACCCACCCTAGTCAAATGGGTCAAACATTATAATAGATACAAATAGTCATAGCCAACATTGACCAAGTATGGGATAGAATATTATGAAATGTACTATATTGAGGATCATTTATAAATTAAAGAAAATGTCATTGGTCATTAGTGACTAAGTGGTAATATTCAAATGTCTTATGTATCTCATGTGGCCTTGTTAGACTTATTAAAGGGAGACCTTTAAAACAGTAAAACTAGAACAAATAATATGATTTTATTTGTTCGGGACTAAAAATAGTTGTTCTTATCTTTTTTTAAAAAATTCAAAAACCCCTTTGCAGATCTAATAAAATCAACATACTTTCTCCATAGGAGAATACATAAAGTCCATATCCTCACACAATTTATCATACAATTTTATGCTGTGCCCTGAAGCCTGTTCATATACCAATGGCAAGATCATTGATTTGGAAGAACTCTTCCTGACTTGGGGAAAATTCCAGTGTTAGGATTAAATCCTAGTGAATATCTTTTGCCAAATTCTCTCAAAGAGCTGTGGTATTAGTATCTTGATTAGCATACTTACTTGTAAATAGAATAGCTGCTGCTATTTCAGAATCTGAGGTTTTTCATGAGATACCAGGGCAAGTGTCATGTTCTTTTTAAAATAGGAAATGATTATTTATTTATTTTGAGAGAGAGAAAGACTGAAAGTAGGGAAGGTGTAGAGACAGGAGAGTATCCCAAGCAGGCTATATGCTCTTAGTGCAGAGCCTGACATGGGGCTTGATTTAATGAACTGTGAGATCATGACAGAGCAGAAATCAAGAGTCAGATGCCTAACCAACTGAGCCACCCAGGAACCCAAGGTCTCACACTCTTATTTATTCTATTTTTGTTCACAGTTTTGTGTAGATAATCCTTTTTCCAAATTCTGCTGAGACATTCTGAGGCAGGCAAGAAACCTTTTGAAATCTGTTGGGGTAGCTGTTTATTGTTTGTTTGTTTTGTTTTGATTGGGATAGATTACTTCCTTAAGCCACAAAATTACAATAGGTTGTTCCATAGACATTTTCATAGTTGAGGCAGCTTTTGGGCCCTGATTTTAGTGTAATTATCAAATCCACTGACAAGATTGACAGAACCTAACTTAATACAGACTTAGGTAATCAGTCAATCTGCTTTGCCATTTTTACTTAGAATTAATGCTCTGGGCACCTCTTCAAAGTCATGCTGTGGAATATTCCTTGATCATTTATTCTCATAGTATTTGTGTGTAACTAAACTCTTTCTATCCATTTTCCCCTTCCATTTTAAGTAATAAAATGAACACACAAGCCCTATGGCACCCAAGTATAGACTGGAGCTTTGTTGGGTCCCTTTTTCAACCTTAGGCCAATTGATTCTTTGAAGTCATCTTTGCCTTTATCTTTTATAGCCACATATAATTGACATATTAATAAAGTTTTACTCACAGAAACCTTAAAGGTGGCTCTGCAACATGTCTGCATTGTGCTAGGCTAGATGAGGAAGTCTATTTTGTCCCTTTTTCTTTTTCAGAATGACACCAGTATTTTCTTCCATTTATGGATTTATCCTGATGCAGTGATAATGCCGAGATTCATATTTTTGGCAAGAGCAACATTTGGATCCCTGAAGAATAAAGGTAACTTATTTAAAATATTTTTTAAGCCATCTTAGAAGTAACCTGCCATGTGGGCAGGAAGGTATAGGTAGATCCAATGGCACTTTCCTCAGTACAGGCAATAACTATTCTAAGATGAAAAGGGCTGGGTTTGAGAATGAGAAATACAGAGTGCAATGGTTCATAATAACAAGGATTTATCTTTTTGTCTGAAACTACCATTCATATATAAAATTTTTAAAAACCCATTAAATTCAAATGGAAAATGGAATACATTTACTTTTTAGAAAGTGAAAGAATAATAACTATCTTGAATCATCATCTGTATAGGTGTTTTGGAAACTTTTTCACCTGTCCCTGCCTGTGAACTTGGAATCTGACATCAGTGCCCTGTTATTCTATTCCCAGACCTCTCTTGAGAAGATGGTGCCAAAGAGCTGGTTCAGGTCATTGGAAAAAGTAAATGGGTACGTATCTATTGCTGGTAACTTACTATTAATGCCTTAGGAAGAGAATGTAACAAGATTCTATGAAGAGGAGACTGTATTGACATTCTGAATCAAATAAATCAGTTCTTGGCTGGGGACATAGAACATAGTTTCCAGTATGGCCCAACCCCAGATGTATTACCAAATCTGCAGACATGAAAGGTCACTGTGGTCACCCACTAGGACAAACATAGATCCTTTGCACATACAGCTTTAATTAGTCAGGGTTTTAGGGCAAGGCACCCATCATTTTTACTTGATAATAATAGTTTTATTGATTCTTGACAATTCAGAGACTCTGTGGAGGATGCTGTAACTGCTATAGATGGAGAAACAGTACAGGGAATTAAAAGAAGAGGCCCAATCTCTGAATGAAATGTGTAGCCTATTCTTCCAGAAGGTCTTACTAGTGGACGTTGCACAGAGTGCATTAACTGTCTCTTTCTGGAAATTACACAATTGCTATGTTGAAAGGTAATTTGCTACTTATGTTTTCCAGAGTTTGCATTCATCCAGTTTGGTGCCATCTTCTCCCAACCTTAGGATGGACATGTGCCTTCCAGTAAGAAGCCTCTGCTCCAGCAGAGGGTATCTCTGAACAGACCACACTAATTCTCATCTATAGCAAACCTTTTCGAATCAATGTATTGCCTTTCCAGTTTGAGCTCCAGCTTAAGTGAGGGAACTGGTATTTGAACCTAAGCCTGTCTAACTTTGGTAGACTAAATAAATAAGATCTACAAGTCAAAAAAATTTGAGTTAGATACCCTATCCTGTCACTAGCTAGTTGCATGAGTTTGATCAAGTTATTAACTCTTTGGACACTGTTATTTTTTTCTTTAAATTTATTTGTGGTGGTCGCTTCAAAGCTTGCAGCTGGAATAAAATGAGATCAGAAACATAAAGTACTTGGCGCAGTGCCCATATATGATAGGCAATAATTAGTAGTTAATATTGCTGCTTACAGAGGTTTATGTAAGTATATTTATTCCTGAAGATCTTTTTTTTCCTTTGCTTCCCTACCCTTATATAATGAAATCTTTAAATTGAGAGTGCAATATTTTCTGTTATGTAAAATCTTAATATTGAATGGTTAGTATTTATAAAGCAAAGTGAAAACAGGCATTATAAAGATAGGGGAAAAAAGAGGAAGGAACAAAGGATAGGATTTTTAGAAAAGTGTGTTATCCTATCTCCAAACTTTAGATTGAATGAAACTTCAGATTTTGGAAAAAAATTAAGTAGTAAGAATAAAGTTTTGAGAGACATCCAGTGTTATACTGGATAAAACTTTTAAGATCTGCTGTACACCACAAATTCCTTTGGAAGGCAAAGTTGTTGATGGCTTTTATTCTTTACTTAGATTTGTTTTCAGTCTGCAACTTCATAGGGAACATTTAATAGCATAAACTATGATACAAGCCTTGGCACTGGGTGTTCTGTCTAACTTTATTTATTTATTTATTTATTTATTTATTTATTTATTTATTTTTTAAGCAGTGGGGATTCTTAGGTGACTTATTGTATTATCAATGTTATCTACTATTTGTTGTAGTCATATTGGCCTATATTTGGTTACTAATTCTGTCACATAGCAATAGTGAGACTTGGAGTAAATTATTTAACTTCCCTTATCCTCAGTTACTTTTTTTTCCAGTTATAACCTGAAAATAACAATCCTTACTTTGATCTTTTGCCATGAAGATTAAATGAAATTAAAGAGGATATGAGGTGGAGAAAGTAAAAAAAGTACATAGATCATTAAATATTAAGGAGGTAAAGGTTAGTTCTTACACCTCTATAACAAAAATATAGAGTACTACATGCACCTGGCTGTTGGTTGCATATTAATATAAATGTGAATGCTTATCAAGGTACAGTTTAGAAAATATTCTTTTAGAAGTTGTGATACTTAAACAACTTCTCACAGGTAAAAGTTGAGTAGGAATATAAAGTTTTTGAAAAATTTTAGGACAATTGTGTAGAGTCAAAGGAGGCCAGGTGTCCTAATAATAGTTAAGGAGTCAGGAGAATATTCAGGAGGAGATTAAGCAGGAGACTGTCTTCTGCTTTTTGACCTATTTCATTTTTATGCTTAAATTGGGTTAAACTAAAAGAGAGTCTGATTCACTACAGATGACAGACTGAACCAAAAGTGATAGATTTTTGCTCACTAGTTGATTCATTATTTTAATTCACAGTCTTTAATTCTTCTGGAATCCAAATAGAAATTCAGGATAAATATATTTTAAATGCTTGGAAACAATTTTATGCACATGTTTTTTCTTTGCTACGTGCATTTGAGACTTTACAGTCCTTATTTCCAACACTTGTTTTTGACATTTCTGTGGTTTTGTATTGCACTCTAGGAGATCTGTAGGCCCAGAAGAATTAGGAATAGTGACTATGGTAGAAGAGCCAAAAGGAGAATATTTAACTCAGGGAATTTGTGAAATGTTCTTTATCTGAATATGTGCCTTGGGCTGGCATATAACAAGCATTTTTCAGGAGTTGATGTTGATGCATGATGTTTTGTGTCGTGCTCTATTAAGCAGGATGTTATAAAATAAGTAAAAATAGACTAATGCTATTTGTTTAGGGACAGGGCAGAGGACTGTGTGTGTGTGTGTGTGTGTGTGTGTGTATTTCAACTGCCTCTGGGCAGGCCTTTAGTATTGGAGCTCAGTTTCAGGCTTATTAGTGATAACTAGGTATCTCCTCAAACATTGAAAGAATGGGAACTGGCAGGTTCTGGTTTTGTTGTTGTTGTTTTAACTATTAGCAGTCATTCTCCATGAAGCAAAAATTATTATGAAAAAAGAATTTGATGTTTTAATATCCTATTTGTCTCCTCTTTTGTGCAATGTGATGAAAATTTTGATCAGTTTGATTACCACTCGAATTTTAACAGTTCGAAAAGGTTTTGGATCAAGTTAAACTAAGGTGAAATAAAGATAAATTTATTGAAGATCTCTCAGAGAGCTGCTTGATTTTCAAGATCAGGTAAAAAAAAATGTCTTATTTTGTAGCTGAGAGAACGAAAATCAAAAGGTTTGGAGAGTTGCTCTAAAATACTGAGCTAGCTAATGACAAAAATTCATCCTTTAATAAAGAAAAAGTACACTATGATAGCAGTTCAATACATTCTGTGGTAAAGAATAAATATCTGGACTTACTGAGTCTATAGTACTTTGAAAATATATATACCTTTAATTACTTTCTGTCTTCTTTACCTCTTTTATTGCTTTTGTCATTATCATTGGAGTCTTAATTCAAGTTAGCACCTCAAACTTTCTCAAACACAGAAGAGAAACATGTGTACAAGGGTTAGGAAACTTAGAACAAGAATGAGGTGAGGTAAGAAGATAGAAGGTGATTTAATTTCTGATTACATTTTGTTGCTGATGAAGCATATGTGTTGATAATTGTTTTTTATTTGTGAAGAAGTTATGGCACATCCTTACATATCTAAAGACAAATTTCATTAGTAATTCATGCAAATATTTTAAATACTTTGGATGCCATTTTCAAAAGCAGCACATTTAGAAATTTAATACTGAAATTTTTTTTTCTTTTAACTTACATATAGATGATAGTATTGTGTTATAGAAAGAGGTATCTTTTTCTTTATGATCTATAATTATAATTATCAGGCAAACTTCAAGAAGGCAGTTTAAAGAAAAAGAACTGTTCTGTTTAAATAATCATCTTCCCTCCATAATAGAACTGTGCTAAAATAGAAGAAAAAGCTGATAAAGAATGATGATATGTTCAATGAGATTGTCATTGATGCTTGTTGCTGAATTACAGGCTAAGAATGTTATTTTTCACGTTTATCCCATGTCCCCAATTCCTGCTCCAGGAAATCAGAAGACTACAAATAGCACTCCGGAATTTCTCTCTCTCCTTTCATACATGACTTCTCACTCCAGATCCTTACATACACCTCAGCTAATAGACTTTTAACCTTGGGCAGGAAACTGTTAGTTTGTTCTGAGAGTGGGTATAGAACTATCAGGTGACTCCACTTTAAGAAATGTGGTGGTCAGAGAAGAATTATTACTTCCTTTACTTTGGAGCCCTGGTGAGAACTCAGGAGGTGAACCTAAAAAATGAGTGCCAGATGGCTATAGGAAAGATGTACCTGGGGTCCACTGCTGTCCAGAAACTCCAGAAGGAATGCCTTTGAAGTCGATCATCTACAAGCTTGACTTTGTATATCCCAGGTGTCTGCCCTGTGGTGGTAGGAAAACTTGTTCTTCCATAGTTGTCACTAGACTAACCTTTGTATTGAAAATGAGCTGATTCAATTGAGGCAGAATGGCACCCAGAAAAATGCTTGTCGTCGTATTCACTCAGACTCTGGGTACAGGTCTTCATCCATCCGTGAAGTGAAGAATTCTGGAGGACAGGAAAGACCTGCTGAGGCTGAGGGCCAGGTCTCCATCTGTGCAAGCCAGGGAAAATCTGGCGGAGCCCCACTTATGAAGGATTAACCCTGGCCCTGAAGAACAGGGCTCTTGGGGCTGAAAAGTGTATAAACTTTAGCCAAAAGGCAAATTGGTTGGAATGAAATGGTTTGATATAAAAATTTGATAGAACAAATGTATGTTTGTATATATATATATTTTAAAGATAAGCTATTATCGCTATATTCTGAGGTATTAATAAGGTAGGGGGAGACAAAGTAATTAAGAGCACAGGCTTTGGTATCGAACTGACAGACTAAATCCCAGTTCTATCATGTATGAATTGTCAATATGGCCTTGATTCTGTGGGTTTTAATCCCAGCTCTGAAATTTTACTAGACTTGTAACTTGTACAAGTTACTGAGTTTCTCATCTGTATGTGCAAAATACATTATAGAAAGCACTTAGAATTGTGCCCATACATAGTAAGCACTCATAATTCACATAATATACTTATTTTGGTTTACTTTTGAGCCAGATCTCACCTAAGTATATTACGTATATTATCAATAAGTATATGCTATTATCATTATTAGTTATTGTTTTGGATACCCAGTGATTACATTTTGAAACTTTTATAATCTTTAAGCACTTTTCTATTTTCCTACTTTTTAAAGTTCTTATTTCTAATTTGTTTTTAGCTTATGATTTCTGCTATGGATTACTTTCAGTAGTAAAGGAATTGGAATAACTCATATGTCCAGACATTATATATTAGTGTTGGGGTTAAACATTTCAGAGGCAGTAGAGTTTGGGTAAGACAAATAATGTCTAACAAGAACTGAGTATTGCTATGTACCAAGTTCTGTGAGGCAAGCACATTTTTCATCCCATTTAGTAAATGAGGTAACGAAAGTCTTTAGAGAGCCTAAAAAAGTGTGTAGCTTGTTACATAACTGTAACTCCTGATGGAGCTAGCATCATATCCAAGTAGACTGGTTCCAGAGAAAATGTTTGTGTATGGTCATGGGACGTAAATAAATGAAAGAAAAATGTACAAGTCATTAAAGATGAAAATACCAGTGAAGTATGAAGACAGGGCATGATGAGGTGTTCACATGGATCTTGATGTCACCCCAGACTGATGGTAGATCTAGGGAAAGAGAGAAACACAAGTTGGGGGTAAAGCTCTTGACACTTTAATACATATATGGGATGAACCAAGAGGTTGGTCAATGATAATAACAATAAGTGTGTGTATGTGTGTGGGAGAGTGTGATGTACCATTACCACTATTAAAATAATAGCAAGCTGTTATTTATGGAATTCTTATTATGTGCCTGGCTTTGTATGGAACTTTTAAAAAGCATTGTCTCAGGGAAACTTTGCAACCATTCCTTGAGGAAGATATATTATCCCATTTTCTGGATAAATTAACTAAGTTTTACAAAAATGGAGTGAATTACCCAAATCTCCTGTTTTCAAGTAATCTAGGATAGCTTTGTAAAATGGTTTTGAAAGAAAGTACCCATTGACCTCTTCATCCATCTGTATGTCTGATTGTTAGGTATTAAGCTCTAACAATATTTGCTAGGTACTAAGTTTGAAGGATAGAAAAGTATTTTATATATTGGTCCCTGTCCTTGAGTCTGATGGGAAAGAAAGATGTGGGGACAATTAGTAAAATCTATAGTCGTGGTATGATTTAATTATTTTTAAAATGAGGGTGTTATGTTGCATAATCTTTAATATTTGTTCTAATTCTACCTCTGTGATTGTAGAAACAGCAAGAAGTAGCCAGTAAAAAAAAACAACAACACTGTAGTCAGCTTGGTAGTATAAAAGTTGAACCTACTTAACTGTTGTTAGCAAAGGACTATCCATTTTCTCAAGGCTATGCAGTCTAGCAAATTTGGCAGCCATGGAGCTCAGTGTGAGGCAGCTGGGCATGATTTTGGATGGAAGACTCAAATTCAATGTTGGTGAAGTGTTTACAGTTTGCATGTGCATTGCAGGTGTGTGACATCACTTCCTATGACTGATACAAATGCTGGGAACAGTGGCAGGAGACTGATAGCCTGCCTTTAACCCTTTCCAAACAAGCCATCTTGTGGGCAGATGTTGACCACACCTTCCTGCGCATCTTTCTAGAAGAGCCTGGAAGTGAGCCAGTTTTTGATGATTCGGACCTTGGTTTTAGAATGCATAGCCACTGAATGTCTTCAGGAAATGGGGATAGGAAACTGAATGCTTTCATTTAATGCCCCAGGTGATGAAAATGAAAGGAAAAATCAGTGTTATTGTCTTGCTTAGGCTATAATTAGAGCTCATTGTTGAAATTGTATGATGATATGAAATTTTGGAGGGACTGGTAGTGGAAATAGGCTTCCTGTATAGGTGGAAGTCCTGTTAAACAGTTTCCCAAACTACTAGTGTAAACAAAATTGCAGAGAGAAATATCAAAACTGTTTAAAAGAGCAACATGTTTTCATGTTTTTTTTCTTGCAAATAGTCCTTAGTTTTCCAGCGCAGGAAACAGAGTAAAAAATTATGGTAATGTAAAATTACCTCTGTACAGTTATAAACAGATTATGCTTTTAGTTTTTGCATGTTCTGCAGTGTTAAACCAGGCGTTCAATAACAATGCCTAAGCAATTTAAAATGATGACAAAAGGTTGCTAAGAATTGGCTAAGGATTTTTCATATTGCCTGTATTATATACTTTCCTATAACATATGTGTACAGATACATACAAGTGTACATGAAAATGTAAGTTTTATATGTATAAAAGTAATAATAATTGAAAGTAGCTTATATTTTAGATTTCCCAATAATTTGTAACTTTCTCTCTAATTAGTTCACTTTATGGAAGATTTATTAGTCTGCTACTTTTTATCCCTGACATTTATAATGTTTTAGGTAGTGTTGTGGCTATTACTCTTATACACAGCTTTAAGGGGGGTGGGTAAGAGGATCATTACCTGCAGGTTATCACTGGAGAAAGCTGAGCCTGTTTCTGAAGACTCAATGTATTATTAATCATTATTTCTGGAATCATAAGGGCTACTTTGAACAATTGTAGGAAAATGGTTTTTGAAGATAGACCCCACTGAAGAAAATGAATAAATTCTTTTTCTTCCCATATCAGAATGGATAACTCTGTGTAGGTGTCTGTTTGGATCACATTATTTATGAGCTGTCTTTGAAAAAATTTCTAGCTCTCTTGCAGCTGCAAGTGCTGATTATTTTGCTTGGATTTGTAACTCTGATGTTTTCTGGCATGCATGAGTTTGTAAAAGATTTAGACATAGCCTGCAATTTTTTTTAAGTCCTAGACAGTTCTGATTGAGTAGATCTGATTAACATTAGTTCAGAAGTTTGAAGCCAAAGCTTCACAACCCTGATTTTGAAAGGTGTTGAGATTTGTGGGAGGGGAGATTACTTTTAAGGAAACTAAGCTTCCTTATGTTTCAAATTTGAAGATGAAGTGAGATTGTGTCTGTTAATTTGCAGAGCTTTGCATACTGTAGAGACATGATAGCAGAAGGGATATAAAAATTCTTTTAAAGCAATTTCATTTCACAGCATTACACTGTAATCTAACTGCAATGCTAGAAAATTTAAATGACAACTTCAGTTTTCTAGTTCAACTCATCCGTTTCTCCTGTTCATACAATGTAGGTCAAAGGAATTAGTTTTGGGAAAATGCAAGAGAATACCTTTAAAGAAATCTCCCTTTTAATGTCTTAGGAAGATACCCACTCATAAGATGTTTTTCTGTGACAGTTTGTACTTGTGAGTAGAATCTGTGATACTAACGTAGGGTCTCCTTCCATTATGGCTGTGATGTAGCAGGTCTGAATACAGCTGGAATTAGAATGACTGGTGAGTCTACCTTGGAAAACTCAGAAGCTAACTGGAGATCTTGTTGCAACCAAACTCAGGCACATAACCAAAACCATGTTACCTTTTTTTAAAATCAGAAAATTAAAATGACATGTGCTGGCTCTGCTGAAGGGCTTTGGCTCCCTCTTACTGGTATTGGCAGTTCACAGTCATGCATCAGGAAAAAGAGCAAAGGTGAATGTTACTGGCTGTACTGCAGATTTTTTCATTGTCTTTTTAATATTTTGGAAATAACCTTTCTTTAAAGTGATAAAATAAAAAAATACCCCAAATGTACAATTTGTTAATTACTTTTTGTATTTTTTTATTTTGAGATGACTTTATATTCACATGTAATTAAAGGAAATAATACAGAGAGATCCATATATCCTTCACCCAGGTTCCCCCAATGGTAACATCTTGCATAACTGTCATATAATATTGTAACCAGAAAACTGACATTGATCTAACCCCATTAGCCTTATTTAGATTCATTAGTCTTAAAAAGATTCATTTGTATGTATGTCTGTGTGTATATATTTAGTTTAATTCAATTTAATTACATGTGCAGATTTGCGTGACCACCATCACACTCAAGATACAGGATAGTTCCATCATAAGAATCCCTAGTGCTAGCTATTAAATTTAAATGGAAAATGTACTCAAAAGAATTATTCACCAATTTTAATAACTTCTCTGAGGCTGTGTTGTATCTAATATAGTTTTGAAAGACACTAAATGACTAAGAAGACAGAAGAAGTTAACCACATTAATTCCAAAGAGTTCCCTGGTAATACAAACAGTGAATTACCATTACTACTTTAGAAAGGAGAAATTGGGACACCAGGGAGGGCTCAGTTTGTTGAGCCTCAGACTCTTGATTTTGGCTTAGGTCATGATTTCAGGGTTGTGGAATGGAGCCTACCTGTATCAGGCTCTGTGGTGCTGCATGGAGCCTACCTGAGATTCTCTCTCTTTTTCTCCTTTCTTTTTCTCTCCCTCTATCCCCTCTTCCTCACTCACTCTCTTTCACAAACAAACAAACAAAATAACCCAAGAATAAATTGCTGAGTAGAGAAAGATCTTAATGGAACAAAAAATAAGGCAGGGCTTTAAGGATGCAGGTTATTAGGTCTTTTGCACAGTTTTAACAAAAGAAGTTAAAAATTACAGCTTGAGTCTTTTGCTCAAAAAAGAAGAAAGCAAAGTCAGCAAGAAAAAAATCATTACTGGTTTGTACTCTGTGAACAGTGCTTTCTCCCCCTGGGAAAACAATAAAAAATTATTTGCCCCTGTATGAAATTTAGGACCACTTACCAAAATGGCTAGCTTGGCAGAGGCTATTACTTAGCTTAGAGCTCAATTGTACAATTCACTTGAAGCTCAGCATGAACTTTCCTCATAGACAATAGACATTTGTGTTCACACTTTTGAAAATGAACTTACACAAACAAGTGCAATTTATACAGTTTCTTAAAACCATAAAACATAGACACTTTTAAACTAATGGGCTTTGGGCTACACTCAAAATAAAGCTTTGTGTTCTTTGTTGCTACTCTTTATCTCTAGGGTAATGAAGACCATCTATTAAGTGAAATTGTTAATAGCAGAAAACTGTGAGAAGTCAATCATAAAAGCTGCATGCTGGATATTTTCCCTTCTTTTGTCCTTTTGGAATTAAAGACACTCCTCTTGTTTGGAAGAGAATGATGGCTTAGTTATAATTAAAATTCTGTTCTTTTTTTTTTTTTTTTTTACTAATTGGTGGGAAAGACTGACATACTACTAATTAAACTACTTTTAGATTTATCACCTTATTGATCAAATGCTCTGAGGTTTATCTTTCAAGACCTGGAATTTACTGCTAGATCTAAATGGTAAAGGTCTAGGAGGATAGATGAACTTGAAATACACAAAGTAGGATGTTATTTCCTTAGAAAGCTAGAACAAAAGCACAAGAACCTGAGCTCAAGGCTTTGAAGCTTTCACTTTTGTTGTTAGCTCTATCTCATTTCTTATTTATTTATTTACTTGTTTGTTTATCATATGTTTTTGGAGGGAGAGAGCAGAGTAAAAGGGCAGAGGGGGAGAGAGACAAAGAGAGAGAAAGAATTCTAAACAGGCTCCACACTCAGCCTGGAGCCCACCTTGGGGCTTAATGCCAGGACTCTAGGATCATGATCTAAGCTGAAATCAAGAGTCAGAGACTCAACCAACTGAGCCACCTAGGCACCCCTAAATATTTAATTTTAATTCCAGTATAGTTAATATAAAGTGTTATATTAGTTTCAGGTGTACAATTTTTTTTGAGTTTATGAAAGCCCAGATTCTCTTCTAAGAATAATAATGAATATGCTCATTATACACACACACACACACACACACACACACGGAATTTTGTGTGCAATAGAAAAGTACATATATCCATATACGGTTTTTACTAAAGGTATATGGCTTTTATTAAAAAACATATAATTTGGGGTGCTTGGGTGGCTCAGTCAGTTGAGCGTCTGACTTCAGCTCAGGTCATAATCTCACGGTTCATGGGTTTGAGCCCCATGTCTGGCTCTGTGCTGACAGCTAGCTCAGAGCCTGGAGCCTGTTTCAGATTCTGTATCTCCCTCTCTGACATGCCCCTGCTCACGCTGTCTCTCCCTCTATCAGAAATAAATAAAACATTTAAAAAATTTAAAATAATATAAAATAACATATAATTTTTATTAAAATTACAATAAAATAGCACTTTGAATTCCGTGAGTGGTTCCCACAGAAGTCTTTGACACTCAAATCAGTAATTCCTCAATTTATTCCATTAATCTTCAGATGAAAAATTCAGATTCTCAGGAGGTTGTAATTTAGTCCTTTTTGATGGCTTGCCTAGGTTTATGATAACAGTAATCCTTTACTCAGAATGCTGAATGATAGGTCAGTTGACTGTTAAAAGAAGCAAAGTCGGTGAACTTCATTTTCAGTACTAATATATCAATAATCACCTACTTGATCATCCTTTCTTTCTTAAATCTTTGGTTTTAAATTTTGACTTTTCCTCTTACCTATTCTGTTTTCATTGCTGAACTAGTATTATATGATCTCTTTGATCTCTCCCATAACTCCTGTTTGCAAGCAAAACTTTCCTCCTTTCCAGAATTACTGCAGGCTAACAGTTGACTCCAAATAGGAACAGTGACTTATATGATAATATATAAAACTAGATCTTAATTATTTAAAAATGTACATTGGTGGATAATGTGACCCCCATTATGCATCTGTA